ACTAAGTTTTAAGCTAGAAGCGATTTACCACTTGGTGTCCTTTCCTCGTGAGTCTAAAGGCTTTTAATCACCTCGAGAGGTTCCCTCGTAAGTTCAGTTAAATTCAGCTAAACCACTTTAATTCAGGTAAAGTCAGTAAAATTCAGCTAAATTCAGTTAAATTCAGCTAAATGATTTAGCTGAATTTAACTGAATGTAGCCGATTTTAGCCTAATCCAACTAAATTTAGCTCAGTTCAACTCAAGTTGAGTTGAACTTTAAATGCGCATTCAAATGTATTATTCATTGAAGTTTTTTCTTCTTCCTTTCTGTACAACTGTATGAATTTTCAACTATTTATTCCAACTTTATTCGCTCTTGTCAATGGTCGTAGTAACGTACCGAAAGCTGGAGTAATAAAAGAAAAATTCAGCAGAATTTTCAAGATGTACTTTATCGCAGTATTATACTCATTGATCAAAATTGAACTGAGCTAAATTCAGTTGAATTCAGTTAGATTAGGCTAAAATTGGCTATATTCAGTTAAATTCAGCTAAATCACTTTAATTTAGCTAAAGTAAGTAAAATTCAACGAAACTCAGTAGAATTCAGTTGAATTCAGTTAGTTCAGGCCAAAATCGGCTATATTCAGTTGGATTCAGTTAGATTCAGTCAAACTCAGCTAAAAGTCGGTCAAACTAGCTCAAACTAGCTACAAGCTTGCGTGAACTTTATGTTGAGAAAAGGTCATAATGATCTCAAAAACTTGCTATTAACGAAAAAATTTGAGATTTCCGTGTTTTGAATTTGTTTGAATTCTGGATTTTTTCAAGCGTTGACTCAACGTTAAAATTCAAATAATATTGGATTTTGTTCAGTTTCGTCACTCTTTTGACCCATACATAATTCACTCATATTTGAACATAGAGAACAGAGAAAAAGTTAAAGAAATATGAAAAAGCGTGAGATTTTTGTCAACTTTTCTGCTGAGAGCTTTTTGTAAAAATTTAACGAATGTTATTTCAACAACAATTTTTAGGTGGTACATCTTTGCCATTAGATTACGAACGAATATTAAGCAAATTTCGAAAGTATTATTTACAGAAAATACCATTGGAAACAAAAGTAAAAGCATCATTAGATTTGTACTTTACCATGACGACAGAAGAAAATGATTCCAGATATATTTTAACGGCTTATACATCGGTAACAATGTTTTATAAAATACTTAATAAACATCTTGCAACGTATATGCTACATTATTTTGATTCGACACTTTACAAAACACAAGATTATACATTTTCTAGTTGTATTATTGATCTTATTTCATTGATAATTCATTCGAAGGAACTAGAACCGTATTAATGCAAAAAATGCTGTGTCAAGTTATCGTGGTATGCTCATGACACGTGATGACCTAATAAAGTACAATGTTGGTTCACAAATAATGAATGTATCATTTTCATCTACATCAGAAAACAAACAAGTGGCACGAACTTTTGCTGGAGAAAATACAATGGATGCTTTGAGAC